ACACATCTTTGAATTTCTTCGTAGTATGTGTAGGTTGCATCATGATTTTTTTCCTTCACCGTAAGAACGTCGGATAAATCTACACAAGTAAATTGAAAAACACATTGGTACAGGGATTCAAACAAAGGTCCTGCATATAACAAGTCAACTGCTTTAACCTCTGAGCCACCGGTGCTCTTTAGGCTACCATTGATCCTGGAAATGTGTAGGTCGGGATATTTACTCAATAATTCTGCAGCGGTTTAACATTTTATTGAAATTTGGCACAGATATAGAACATAGATATTACATCTTTTTTTTAATTCTAAACATATAAAGTCGCGGACGCGGGTATTTATTTTTAGGTATACGTAATTGAATAAAATTATTATTTTTTAATGAAATATCAATAGTTTCCTGTGTGCTGACACATAGCCGTGTGTTAATTAGTAACCAGAGTTTGATCAAACAGGAAATTTTAAAACCACATGTTGCTTTGAGTTGTTTGTTTTGCATTTGTTCACTTAATTAATTCTATATGTATCCTTTATTAATAACTAGCTGTTGCCAGCGACTCCGTCCGCTCGGTATTAACAAAAACATAATTCGTAGCGTATGTGTTCTTCCAAACTATATTCTATGTGTATGCCAAATTTAGCGAATAAAGAAGTGTCTCTAACCCTACTTATGAATGTCGTCCATCGGAATCAGACAATGACTCTTAGTTATAGAGGTTTCCTTGCTTATCCAGGTTCGACTGTACTACTTCGGGAGTCCTTGTATTTAAAAGACTTCGTTTAGCTGGCATAAACTTTAGTACTTTCTCGTACTCGCACGGAGCATATATTACCAAAACTCGTACTTTGAGCCTGTATTTTACAACTTTGAATTGGGTGACGTCTAATGATGAATTACGTTGCAGTACGAAATGCGACGTTGACTGGAACCAAGTGAACGAACGTTGTACGAACTGCGAAGTCGTTCGTTCACTTGACTCCAGTGAAGTGAGCGAACGTTGTACGAACTGCGAAGTCGTTCGTTCACTTGACTCCAGTGAAGTGAACGAACGTTGTACGAACTGCGAAGTCGTTCGTTCACTTGACTCCAGTCAAGTGTACCGCTTAATTTTATCCGACATTCGATTCCAACGTGTCTCGTAAATAGTTCGCCTTCAACTATTCCAAAACTGTCTAACATCTTGTTAGATTTAATTAGCAGTTTGACGTATAGTTTCAAAAGATAGATATTGCTTTGTTTTTTATACTACTGACAGTATCACCTAACTTATATTGAAAGAGATTGTGGTCGTATATTCTAGAAATTTAATGTTTAATTACTATCTAATCTGCAGGATTTAGGTTGCAATACTTTTACAAAGCTGTATGTTATTTAAAAATAGACCAATTTATAATTTAACTAGCGGTTGCCCTCGACTCTGTCTGCGCGGAATTTAAATTAATAACATAATGATCTCTAATGTGTAATATAAGTGTTCTCTCAGATTATATCCTATATGTATGTCAAATTTCATTGCGATCCGTTCCGTTCCGTTAGTAAGAATAGCAATTAAAATATAAATTGGTTTATTCCACTATCTAGTAATTTCTATGAACCATTTACCATTTGACCGGGTATTTACTAAGTTGCTTATAATTTTAAATCAACAAGGTTAATTCGGCTTCCGTTTCGTTTTGTTTAACCTTCTTTATTTTATCGTTATTGCCATCGGCTCTATTTAGTATTTTTAGTTTCCTTTAAAAAATATTGTCGTATTTAAATTGAGTTTTATTTATTACAGACATAATTCCATTTACCGTGGATTTCTGAAATCAAAAGTTTAAAACGTATCTCTGTTTTGGCGAAGTTAATGATAGGTATGACGATATTATGTTTTAAACAAAGATTTTGGTCTTAGAAAGCCACTGTTAGTTTTCGTCTATGTTTGATCCGTTGTATGTTTAGTCACCCTTACTTTAGTTTTGAGTTAAATACCTACGTACTACTTTCGTAGTACTACCATAATTCTCATGGCTCATATCATAAGTTCACACAGTCGTTAAACAACGTTGTTATAAACTAACATTCACAAAAATCACCTTTGACCTAACACAGCGACACCTAAAAACATAAGTTGTTTTTTTACTACCTAGTTATATCGTAAAACATATGAGAAAATAAAAATGTCAAACCATTGTCTTCGTATCTGTGATCGTCAGTTTTGACACAAACATAATATACAAATGGTCATTAATACGACGTCAGGGCGGACGACAAGCCACACGCACGCACGCATTATTCAACTCAAACAAAAAAGGGAATAAATGCTCGAATAAAATACTTTTAATTTCCCCGGGCGCCGCTAATCGGACGACGGCAATGGAGGGCGCCAAATCGCCCTTTTTATTTTTCTGTATGAACGCAAATCCGGCGGGAAAACGGCCGTGGCTAGCGAGCGGGATAAGGGGAGAGGGGCACGCGCTTGGAATTAGTGGCCCCGTGCCCCTTCTGGCCCCGTACTCGACCCTAGAAGCTAGGGTTGACACCTTTTTACAATAAATTATTTATTTAATGTTTTAAAAATATGGTAGGAATACTTATAGCTTAGTACATGGAAGTACCATTTTAAATTATTCACTATTCGATATAATAAAATATTAGCTACGAATTTAACAATATTGTGCCGCATGCTGTCCAAAATTTATAAAATTACGAAAGTACAAATATAAGATATGAAAATAGGTAAATTAGCATTTATAACTGCAATGTATTTATAAAGCGAACTTGACTAAAATACAGTTAAATGACATGATCACAAACTAAATATGTTAAATGATGATATTTTAGTAGATGTGGCAACCCTATTCGGAGGTGTCACTGAGCACGTCCTGCGCCCGCAAAAAATGGGGAGCGACATCGCGACGAAGTGCCCGCCGGTCGCGGGGAAGTGAGGGACGTACTGATTTCTCTTTTTAATTTATTGCCATTGTTTCGATCTTTTAATATATTGTCCCTATTTGACCTGGAATGTATGACGTAAACAACTCAACGCGCTTTAACCGCAACCCAGTACCTTGTATGACATTACACATTTCATAAATAAGTATGATTTAATAATTATGACATAGAATATTTAACTCTAGAGTTATATTTTAAAAGGCTCTAAACTTCACCTAATTAATTTAATGCTTCAAATTAATTAATGAATTCTATATTAATAGGTAGATTCGTTAATTAAATATGCACGTTAAGCTATATTAAATTAGTATGGTCCAAAACAAAATAATGTTGGACTATAAACTTGTGTTTGAATCGGGAACATTAATTAAAATCAGATATTGAAGTTACATTAAATAATTCCAAATACTAGTGTCAAGCTCTCAAAATTTTGCGCGCATCAAAATCTCCCGCTACCACCTACCCGCCCGCCCGCTTCGGTACAACAGTTGACTCAAAGCACACGTACCCACACAAACAGAGGCGCCGTGCTCTGCTTCGCTGGTCTTACTACAATAACAGCGGGGGGTGAGCGCGCGGGAGGCGCGTTGTGACGAGAAGATGCAGTTTGCACCGCGGCCTCCTCAAACCTTCACCAACTTGCGCTCGTGTTCTCGGGAATCGTTTTAAATTCAAGAGCCGCAATCCCTTTCACTACCGACATGCACCTTACTCACCAGCAACAACGTTCAAATTACAATGTGCCATATTCTCCAAGTCATTTGACAACGGATATCGTTTCTGTCATATCGCGAGACTTAAGACCTTATCCGACTTGCACAAAGTTGAAAATCGTATAGATTATACAAAAATGGCAGCCGACCTCGGTGTGAGTGCGGAGGTGAGAAATACATTAGTGGTGGCGTTTTCCATTGGCCGTCGCTCCCGTGTTGATATTAAGCAGTCCACGTGGACCGCTCCGCGGTCGCTTGTCTCGTTTTTTTAGGCGGGTGTCTCGCTATCCGTCTCATTCTAATCTACAACGAAACGTGGAATGTCATGTCCGGAGTTGTTCAGAAAGTCGTGAGCGTGCATCGTGCTTCGAGCTTAGTGTCGGCAACGAAACGAAACACGTCTCATAAAACGACTTATAAACTAAACTTGAAGCTGTTATTCTTACGGTTCAATTTCAGCTGGTATACAAAGGCGAGTGTGTCGTGTCTACATTGGATATTGATAAGCATTTTTAAGTCAATTAAGGTTGTAAGCTAAAAGCGGTTGTTGCTACATTTAAATTATCGGTCGGCATTCAAATAACGCCATTTTTTCGTGTCGGCACGATTTTATTTATAGTTATATGTTATGGCGAGTGTAATAACGTAACGTGGGCGATATGTTTTAAAGCGTATCGAATATGGGCGATTCGATCAATTAGTTCCTCCAACTGCGATCATAATTGGTTGAAACCAGTAGACAAGGATTACTTTTGCCAATTCAATCAAAAGTAACTAAAGTTTAACAATTTAAAAACACATTAAATATGTTAATTTAAATTTTATAATGTAGAGGGTGTAAATTAAATCTGAATTTCCGTTTATGATTTAGGTATGGTGAGGTTTAAACTTATAGATAAAAATAACCCGTAAATTCTCTTGTATTTATTATCCGTATTTACTATAAAATTTAACCAATAATTTAACTAGTTTTCATAAATATTATTTTCTATTGAATCTTAACATAAAAAAGTAACTTCTTTTAATATCTTTCTAGTAGTTGAAACCAACTACCGACATCTATCGTATTAAAGTATGAAAATTTCGTTCATTAAACCTCACCAGATTATACTATTAGACGATAGATGGCAATGTTCCAATATTTCAAACAATTTATTTTGAACAGAAAACTTTTAATATGAAGTTTAGTAGGAGTTTTACAAGGAATAAAATAGTTATCCTCTATTTGTTTTCTTTTTTTTTTGTAATTAAAATTAATTTTTAAGTTACAATCAAGCTTTATAACCTGTTTGTTTGTGCCTTTTTTATACATTATAATTATAGCAATGACATTGACATTTGATTTGGCTTTGACAACAACATTCGTTCCATATTCCGTTGTCAACAAAAATAATTAATTATTTTTACACCAATGTAAATTAATGCATCGATTCTTTATGTAGCAATAATATACCCTTGAGTTTTTTCTTAATTGTACGCTTGTCTCTTCCTTTATTTCAATAAGACGGTCCATGTTGGTACTTTCAGACTAACTTAGTTAATATAAGTTTGTAATATACGTTCTTTTTTAAAAACGAATAAGATGCCTCAAGTTGTTTTATTGTTCAGTGGCAAAAGAAAGTCTGGAAAGGATTTTTTGACTGATCATTTGCAAAATATGTAAGTATGGCAACGTAAAATTTCTTTTACTAAAGTGGACAGAAATTGATAACTAAAACTGTTTTATTATGTACGCTCTCTCTAACATCTTTAACTTATATGTTTCCAGGTTAAGAGACAAATGTGAAATCATCAAAATATCTAAGCCCATTAAAAGTCACTGGGCTAAAGAAAAAAACTTAAATTTGGATGAATTATTAAGTGATGGTAAATACAAAGAGCAGTACCGTTTGGATATGATACAATGGAGTGAGGAGATGAGATTTAAAGATTATGGATGCTTCTGTCGTTCTGCATGTGAAAATGGTAAGATTCAACTAAGTCACAATTGTTATAAATGTATCGCCCAGTTTCTGAGAGTTTTTTTTTTATAAAAACTACTGACTCATAAGGCAAATGGCAAAAGATTAAAAACCTTTACTTACCTATTTACTTTGATTTCTTTTATGATCATTTTGGAATTCATTTGTTCACTAATTGCAAGTCATAGTTTTTTTTTACATCATAAGGTGGCAAATGAGCGAGCGGGTACCTGAAATTGCTGAAGTAGCAAAGTGACCCTTGCCCATAGACACGCGCAATTGCATATGCGTTGCCTACCTTTAATCGACGGAGGAGAGGATGCACAGAAAGAAAATATTTTCCCTTTCCATGCATCCCCCCATCCCGAAAGTCCACTTCCATTTCCCATCCTTTCCTTATAAGAAAAGGGTGGGAAGGGAAAGAGGGCTAAATTAGGCACTCGTCAGACGAAACGCGGAATTTCTTCCACTTCACGCCTGTTTTCTGTGTGGTGGTTGTATTTCACCGGGCGAACCTGGCCAATTCATGCAAAGATGTTAAAGCGGGTTCTACCACTCTTAAAACTCTACTCTTTAAAGATCTACTTGTATATTCATTGTTCCATATCTAAAAATATAACTTTTTTTATTATAGCTGTGGATAGACCAGTATGGATTGTCAGTGATATTAGACGGAAAACTGACATTCAGTGGTTCAAGGAAAATTACGGTGATGCTATAAGAAAAATACGAATTACTGCTGATGATGATACAAGGAAAGCGAGAGGATATAATTTCCAATTAGGAGTTGATGATGTTGCGTCAGAATGTGATTTGGATGATTATAATGATTGGGATCTTGTTATAAACAATAGTAAAAATGGACAAAGTTTAGAAGAACAAATAAGTGCTATTTCAACATTGATAAAACATGTGTAATTTATAAGAGCCAATAGCTTATTGGTTAAGGATATGGTTTACATGGTTGTGGGTTTGAATCCCTCCGTTCAAATATTATGCCACAAGCTTATAGCTCGATTGCAATGGTGACGAGAAATATTAGGAAATTAATAAAAAGTATTATGGAGTGGAAATAACTTTTTATGTAAGTTAATTCTTTCTTGAGTAAAAAAATCATGGTATTTAGAGATATGGTATGGAGCTTTACTGTTTTTAGATAATATTTATTTAAAGTGTTTTAAAAGAGAAATAAACTGTATTGGTTGTAGGTTTGTTATTTTCTATTGTTTTTATATATTTCTTGCTCAATAGTTTGTTTTTGATGCAATCATTGTTTATTTATTTGATTTATTTAAGCTTTGTACACAGTTTAAAGTACATAGTGTAACATTACATAGAAATACAATGATGTACAGGTGAGCTTAACTGTAAAAGAGTTCTCTTACAGGAATCCTTGCGATACAGAGAGGATGTATAGTGGATAATAACTGTATGTGTATGTATTGTTATTCATGTTTCTAAAAATATCAAGAAAATTACTAAGAGATTGATAGATTATTATATGAATATAGATGTAGATAAGATTGATTAAGTACAGGGTGGTATAAAATAAAATTACTCTGCTTTTATAATTTTAGTTATTTATTTTTTTAATTTTCATACAGGATTTGTATCAATTTTTGTATTGAAGAATTATTATTTATTTATTTATTTTAAAATGAATCTCTTAACAAAGTATTTACATTGTCTTGGTGTGTGTGTTTTAATTTTATACATGTTCGTTGGATCTAATTTGAATTTATTTTGGTGGAAGAATGTATTCAATATTGATATTATAAATTTAATTTTATATAAAGTGCTTTGTTTTCTTTTGTAACATTAATATGTCTTTTTTCTATTAATAGTACTTTTTCATCTTTATTATTGCCACTATATTTTGAAAATTTAACTTCATACATTCCTAGAAATTAAATTTAAATAAATTCCATTTTTAGGTCCTATTAAAACTCTTTTAGGATCAAATTGCATAACCTCTTGTGTATTCTTAGATGGCTCCACTCGGAACTTTGATAAGAGCTTTGTTATGCAGATTCGGGACTGTACTTTTGCAAACCGCATTCCTGAAAAAAAAAGTATTTTATTCTGCAAGTTTTTATAATATTAAATGTATGTTATTTTAAAACGTTTGACACACCTATGCAATTCCTTGGTCCTATACCAAATGGCATATAAGCACAAGGATGTCGATCCTTTACTTTTTCAGGAGAAAATCTCTCAGGGTCAAATATTTCTGGGTTAGGGTAATACTTAGGATCGTGTTGTATACCCATTGTCGATACAAAAACTTTTTGTCCCTTTTTGATGACGACATTCGTATTTGGTATAGTATAATCAACTTGAGCTCGACGTTGTATCGGATCGACTAAAGGATATTTCCTTAATGTTTCATCAAAAACTCTTTCCATGTAAATCATATCAGTTATAGCTTCATATGTTATATCTCCATTATTTCTATCGAGAACGTCATCTATTTCCTTGATTAATTTCTCTTGTATGTTTTGATTTTTAGCTAATTCATACAGCATGAAAGACATTGTTGTTGCGCTAGTTTCATAGCCCGCTGCATAGAAAACGAATGCTTGCGCCGCTATAATACTATCGCTAAGTTCTAATGTAGTTTCTATATCTTCGTCAGATCTTCTAGCCCCTTTTATTTCACCTTTCTCTCTCAACTCCAAAACTAAGTCCATGAAGTCTTTCCTATTTGATGGTTTGCCGTCTCTTTCATTTATAACAGTTTTTACCAAATCTTCGAAGAAATATCTAAGCTCCACAGAAAATATTGTACTGTTGAACTTTTTTAGTATACCCGGAAACAGCATATCAATTTCTCTTGCGTAAGATAATGAGAAAATGATTTTATCTATTTTATTAAACATTTCCATTTTATCTGCCATCGCATCGAAATCTAGACCGAAGGCACAAGCTGAGATTGTTGCCATTGTGTACCGTTGAATTAAAGAATGGATTTCATGTTCATTTTTTTGTAAACATATATTATTTACTTCTCTTAAAAACTTGTCTCCTCTATCATTTAGTAAATGGATCATGTTTTTTAATTTACCAGATGTAAATATTGGTGTAAATTGATTTCTCAAAACACGCCATATGTCAGTATCAGCGTGAAACAAGTTAGCACCAAGACCATCTTTACTAAAGGATACGCCTCGATCAGAAAAAGAATCGAAATCTTTAATCATAACGTGCTTTATAACCTCCAAGTCACGTATTAACAGAGTCGGTGTTGTCAATCTGAATACACCAACAATCTTCTCTTCAGGATACTCAAGATAAATCTTTTGCATTACCTCAGCTATGTTCTTCCTTCGTAGTGTTGATGTTATTATGTTTCCGAATAATGGAACCGGTTTTGGTCCGATGACTCTTATATTTTTCCAGTAGTTGAAATTTTTTGTAATAAAACTATGTACGTAATATATAATAAGTAACAATAATAATACCAAAATTAGTAACAGATTCATGATTATTAGAACGCGATACGTCCTTGCTCACGGTATAGTTTTACACAAAAAGATATGTTTATTTAAATAAACACAGTTTACAACAACGGCTTTTTATCATTCTATGTGATAGCAATGTCAGCGGAAGGTCAATGTTAAGAGATCATGTGATTCTAAGGATAAAAGTGTTTAGGTTTTAGAACTATCAAGTTTACTAAATATATTCATGCATTAAAGTAATTCTAAACTAAGATTCTTATAATATATTTAAAATGATTTACATTTATCATCATTATTTATTATTAGCTGTTGTCGGCGACTCCGTGCGCTCAGAATAAAATAAAACTTTATTAGTAGTCTATTTGCTCTTCCAGGTTTTTTCATCATTTTTTTTTCACATTTCATCTATGCCAAATTACAGCGAGATTCAGGCCGTTGTTCTGGAAATACCTTCTAACAAACATCCATGCATGCATCCATCCATCCATCCAGCCAATCTTCCGTCCGTACGTCCATCCGTCCACCCGTCCATCCGTCGATCCGTCCATCCGTCCATCCGTCCATCCGTCCATCCGTCCATCCGTCCATCCGTCCATCCGTCCATCCGTCCATCCGTCCATCCGTCCATCCGTCCATCCGTCCATCCGTCCATCCGTCCATCCGTCCATCCGTTCATCCGTCCATCCGTCCATCTATCTAAACATTCGTAAGGTACAACTACTTCCTCCATAGAATAAACAATAGCTGCGGTAGTTATTCGGTAGAATTAGCATATTCATCAATCAGCAGGTCGTCGCGTGCTTCTAGCGTCTTAGTAATATCATTTATTATCATAATGACTTGCTAAGTACATCTGTGTATGTAAACTTTGTTATATTTGTTTTTATAATTATAGATAATAATAATAAACAGAAGACGTAAAAACATGTTTATAAAGAACTAGGGTTAAATGTTATCTGTATAGGAGATAATTTTTTTCCATTACCTAGTTGATAGAATAGTTGTAGAACGACCAAGTAGGTGTCAATCATATTAAATCCGGGAGCATAGATCAGACAAGCGCCTTAAAAGTACGGCCATTGGTTGGAGCCCTTCAGGTACAGTAAACAGGCTTTCCTCAGGACCCGACGTTCGGGCGCCCCACACCATTTGCCAGCCGTGCGACCTAGCTATCTGTAGAATTGAAAAATTAAAAGAACATGGCAACGCATCTGCGGTTCCTCTGGTATTGCTGATGCCCATGGGCGTCGTTGAACACCTCGGTGCTCCCGTTGCTCGTTTGCCCCCTTCTGTTATAAAAAAAGAACAAACATGAAAAAAGCATTTATTAGTATGCGCTAATGATCTTTATGTGTACACCGACTCCGAATTGACAGTAATTCTATCTTACTAGTATTATAAATACCAAAGTTTGATGGATGGATGGATGTTTGTTTGAAGGTATCTCCAAAAAGGCTGGATGGATCTTGATGAAATTTGACATACATATAGACCATAGTCTGGAAGAACACTTAAGCTACTATTTTTTTTAACTTAACAACTTAAAATATATTGTGTGAAAATAAAGTACTGTACCTATATTTTTATCGCACTAATAACAGTAATTCAGATATCTAGTCGTTAAAACAATTTATTATTATTAGCATAGCAATTAAATACTTTTATAAACGTTTTATCTTATCAGTGAATTGAAACTGAGGACATAGTACATTCCTTTCATTGAAAATACAATGAATTAGAAAGAGATGTTAATATATAATGTCTTTACAAGCACATTTGTCGGCTTTGGAAACTTACGTTAAATTAATAGCCAAACATTTATACTGCGTCTTTTTCCTACAATTTTTCTTATAAGGAAAGGATGGGAAGTGGAGGTGGAATTTCCTGATGAGAGGAAGCATGGGAAGGGAAAATATTTTCTTTCTGTGCATCCTCAAACCGTCGATTAAAGGTAGGTAGCGCATATGCAATTGCGTATGTCTATGGGTAACGGTCACTTCGCTACTTCAGCGATTTCAGATGGCCGCTCGCTCGTTTGCTTTAAACATGTAAATAAGTCACGTTGCTTCGCCTGCGAAAATACAGACTTAAACATAACTTTGAATATTTAATGACTTATGACTTAATGCGTAATAAATCAGCTTGTCAGCTAAGATTCTTTGGCAAAAACCGAGGGCCTCATTATGACTTCTGATAGTGTCTTAAACTTCTAGTTTTTGTATGTTGCCACCCGGATTTGTGATCCGTTCACCCTCCCAACAGTCTCTACATATTTTCAATAGCTTGCAAAGAAATTTAGGTTATAATTTAAAATTTAGTTAGTAAAATTTGTACATAAGGTTATGAGCTTATGTACTTGCTTACAAGTGATACTATGTTTGTAGGTAATAAATGTTATACGTAAATATTTTTTTATTTGAAGTACATACAGACAATTATATTAACTAACAGACATTATCTTTAGGTACTTGGATTCGCCTGTTATCGTAGAGTTTGATAAAAAATCTCTCAGCATCCATTAACAGATCCAGATGGCGCTAGTAGATACCAGGTCTAATTGTAAGTCTAAATCTTATATACACAGTAATGCAAAGGTTTAATGAACTCGTTTTATCGCAGAGCATACATACAGAGTTTCTTTTATAAAAAGCAGGATAAGTAATGAACAAAAGTTGTAAAAATATATTTTATTTTAAATTACAATTAGGCAACAAGAGAATTGGTATTCTTTTAAATACTTCTGGGTACGAATGTAAGGTAAACACCATTGTGTGGTCCCATTATCGGTCGTTTAGGGTCAAATTGCATTCTATCCATAGTTTTCTTGCTTGGTGTAACGCGGAAATTGCTCAGTAGCTTGGCTATACACACATGACTTTGTAATTTAGCGAAACGCATACCTGAAATATAAAAATAAGTAAATTATTATAAATAGGCTTATTATGCTAATTTTATTACTTAAATGTTATTTTTAATTGCGGAACTGAGAAAATAAAAACGTGGGTTTTGTGACATAAAGCATAAATAAAAAGAATTAATAAATTATGTGAGCGCCTAACCATGTTCTTACACTACAGAGATTCTTTGATTAGCAGTATTGCTAATGCGGAACCGCAGGCTCATAACCATGACATTGTATTTTAAACTCTTTGTCTGAGTCTTTCAGCATAAGAAAACTGCGGCAAGTGTAGAATAAATGCGGGATATCGCGACGGATTTCAATTAAAATATAAATTTAGGAAATTTGTTCATATATAATTTTTATGTGGGTCATACAGTTTGACCAATGTAAGTCAAGAAAGCAAAATTTTGCTTTCTTTGTTGCGCGTTGTAATCTTCGGTTGTGCGTAGTTTTATTCCATTGATATTTCATAAACCGTTATAAATGATATAGTTCAAAAGGCAAATATAATCTACATTAAATTCTCCTGATAATGAACATTACATACGTGTTAATATTGAATTCGAATAATAGCGTAATAATTTATTTGATGTTTTTAAAAGAAAAAAATATATGCTAGCACAAATATTTATTTAGCACATTTAACTAGCTATACTTTCATATATAATTTTTATCTTGGTATAGTTTAGCCTACGGAGGCGAAAGGTTTGTATTACCTTCTTGTTATTTTTCACAAAACAGAGACTACAATGTACGTTTGTAAAAATGGCACTGCAATCGAAAACAAGAAACTGTATGAACTGTTTTATCCAAAATTATTTTTAGTTTGAACTCGTAAGGACAAGAATAATATATACTACTTAATGACACCTACATAAATATTTTTAACAATCGCATGACCAGAAATAAACAACAGGAAATATTTTAAACTTGTTTCTATTCGCAACACCTACCGAGTTTTTGTTATGAATAATAATTTGCCAATTATAATTCTACCAGCGACACGTCTTGATTTCGTAAAGACAGCAAAGAGTAACTCTATATTTAATATATAAGATATTTAGCCAGTTTTATTCGCCTCACAGTAGTAATAATTTCCCATAACCAAACTTGGTCTCCTGTGTTTAAAGCGACGGTCTCACGTAGTACAATATTATGTAAAGTATTTCTTAATTCTTAAAACAATTTAGTGTAAATCAATTAATTTTTTAACTTAGGAGCTTTATTTTTTCATTTGAATATACATGTAATATTATAACATTTTTACAGAAGTATTTGAGTCTGGGAGTTTAAAATATATGTAAAATGAGTACCCTTTTTGTTGGATGGGTCTGAATATGTACAGTTTATTTTAAATCAATTAGAGAAGACTTAAAATGATTTAGTCACTTAGTTTACTTACCGATACAGTTTCTGGGTCCAACGCCAAATGGAAGATACGCGCAAGGATGCCTCTCTTTGCTATTTTCTGGATTAAATCTTTCGGGGTCGAATTTTTCCGGGTTCTTATAATATTTTTCATCGTTGTGAATACCGAAGGGAGATATTAGAACTGTTTGGCCTTTTTTAACAGTTACTTCGGTGCCGGGAATTTTGTAATCTATCGCTGCGTTCCTTTGCAAAGGTTCTACGAGAGGATACTTCCGTAAAGTTTCCGCAACAATATTTTCAAGATATTTTAATTCATTAAGCATTTCATATGTCATTTCTCCATTGTACTTTTTTAATGTTGTATCTATTTCCTCGTAGGCTTTTTCTTGTACGTCTGGATTTTTGGCTAACTCGTACAGAAGAAAAGACATAGTCGTAGCACTAGTTTCGTATCCAGCCGCATAAAATACGAACGCCTGTGCAGCTATTAAACTCTCAGTAAGCTCCACAATCTTTTCTTTTTCGTTTTCCAGTTTCTTTGGTCCTGTTATCTTATCCTGTTGTTTCAATTCTAAAAGAAGGTCCATGAAATCTTTTCTGTTCGTTGGCATACCATCTCTTAACTTCACTACTGTTTTTACAAGACCATGAAAGAAATCGGTAACTTTTTTAGGAAATAATGAACTATTCAATTTTTTAAGTATACCCGGATACATGTAATCTAATTCAATGACATAACTGGAAGTAAATATGAGCTTGTCAACAGTTTCCAAGGTCTTCATGTTTTCGGGAGTGAAGGAATCAAGGTCGATTCCAAATGCGCACGCCGATATTGTAGCTAAAGTATACTTCTGGACGAGTGAATGTGTCTCTAGTTCTGTAGGTCGCTTGTTGCAAATCTCATTGATGTAATTAACGAAGATATCACCGCGGCCGAGCATCAAGTATAACATATTTTTAAGTTTTCCAGATGTAAATATTGGAGTAAAACGGTTCCTCAAGACCCGCCAAGTATCACCATCCGCGTGGAACAAGTTCATTCCGAGACCACTCTTGCTGAATTCCACGCCTCGGTCCACGAACGAATCGAAATCTTTAATCATTATATGTTTGATTACATCCAAATCTCTTAAAAGTAAACAAGGTGTTGTCATTCTATAAACTCCGATCACTTTTTCTTCTGGAAAGGCGTCGTACATTTCTTTGAAAACAACACCAACATTTTTACGACGTCGTGTCGATTCTAATAAATTTCCAAAAAACACAACAGGTTTCGGCCCCTTAACATTTTTATTTTTCCAATAATTAAATGTTCTTGTAAAATAACTATATAATAAAATAATAAATGATATTAAAATCACCGGTATAAAAGTGTAATCCATTTTGCGAGATACGCGCGGATCGAGAAACAACTCGTTGTGTCTGACAATATTCTGCTGAGATTCTTTTATATACATTACGTAGAATTTAAAAGTAACCTGTATTATCAGCGGAACCTATACGTCATTCAGTAACACATTTATTTAAAAAAAAATACAGTTAATCATAATTTTTCAAAACAATATTATTTTTAAATGTTTTAATTAGCTCAGTAAATTTAAAATTGTAGTTATTTAATGTAGAGTAATTAGGAAAATATAAAAATAAGTTTTAAACAGAAAAAACCAAAGTCTTCGAAACTTACAGCGCCAAGGGGGGTATAAAAGGGTAGCCTTTAGGCCGCTATTAAAAGGATATGCTTAATCGTTAAAATAGGTTCAATCGTTGTTGTTTTTTAAACAAATTCATTACAATTTAGGTTAATATACTATATAAATGTTTTTTTTTTCAATGCACTATACGGTTTTTCTATGCGATAAAACTAAAGCGTAACCTGTTGATGATACTGTTCGTACCCCTCGCTCACTTCACCCCGCGTTGGCCTATCTATTTAAAAAATAAAATGACTCCTTGTATTTTGCTTGTAAAAAGTATTGCGTCCATGTTTTGTTTTTTTTGTTTTATCGTTATCATCGTTGAGTAACTACATATTTAAGATTATATTTGACAGTGGTAGACGACAACAACAGGTCCTTTGCTCGTTTGCCATCTTATAATGTAAGTTCCAGGCGGACTTATACCAGATTAAAGAGATTAAAATACCAAGAAACCGACGTGCGTAGATGTACATATGAAGGTTGGAGAAGCGAGAGACGTATGTATATCAGTTTGGCGCCAAATGTAGCGCTGTGGTCTCTGCCTTCCCCTCTTTGTTACGGGCGTGAGTTATGTTGTTCAGTCATTATACGGCAAGCGGACACATCTAAGTATTATACATTGTACGTTTTAATACAAATTATTATTATTTATTTACCTACCAAGTAGTCTAGCGACAAATATTAAGTCAGCGGTAAAAAAAGTCAAACATTGATGTATACAAAACCTGCTTCGTCGACTCCACGTAAGTGGCATGGGCAGAAAGATATGCTTTAATACAAAACTTTTACATATTTAACATTCGTCAATGTACCTCTTGTGTACCTACATCGTCGTCGAGTTGTAAAGTCAATGAACTTCTTTCTTTGTTGGACTGGCTAATAATAGCGATATACGTAATCCTTGATATAAAAATCTCGTGTCTCAATGTTACTGTAATCCTCCGAAACGTCTTGAACGATTTTTATAAAATTTTATATACAAGTAGGTCTGAGAATCGTCTACTGTCTATTTTTGAATCCTGCGCGGACGTAGTCGAGGGCGACAGCTAGTATAATATAATATGACATTGTCAGAACCATTGATTCCAGTATTTTCGTTGTTACTGTTTTGACTCGTAGATTTGCATTAGTTCGTATTTTTAAATGTCTTATAAGTTTCCTTCGTGCCGCATGATTGAGAATTTTGCCCGAGAATAGTAAAAAGTGAAACCGCGAATAACGGAACCGCGAATAAGGTGCTTTCACTGTACTATTTTTTAAAAAGACAACGGCCGCGACTTCATCTTCTTTTAAAAAAAACTTTAAATAATAAGTCGAAGTCGTACGAAGATTTAAAGTCCATTTTTGTGCGATTCTATTGTTCCAAAGATATCTTAGTAGATATGGGGTTTCGGGGGCGATAAATTGATCTAGCTAGGAATCATTTTTAGAAAATGTCATTTTATTCGTGTTTTATCGATAATCAACTTAAACATAAACTTAACTTTTTCTATCGGTAAGATCGAAAAATATTATTCATTTTTCATCATTTTATTAGTAATTCGTACTTAAATATAATTTCCAATAAACACAATTAAAAAAAAAATACCGAGCAAAGCTCGGTCATTCAGGTACTGTTTGTTATGCTGAAAGTTAATTCATAAGCAACATAGCACATATTGTTTGTTCAAGTCAAAGATATAATCACAAGTATTTATTTGAAGTATGTTTTTACTTTGTATTATATGGTTATCAATAAAATAATAAACATGATTAAGCAAAATATAAGCAATTGCCCCAATAGATTATATAGGATGTCCGGAATAGTGTTCAAAGGAGGATCATAGATTTCTTGACTGAAATAATTACTATTAACCTATTAATCCTTTTATTTAACACGACTAATTAGTAGGTTTTAAAGCTCAATTATGACCTTCCGGAGATATAATGTAAATGTATTGACTAAAGTTACGCGATGTACTGTAACATGTTACATAGCAAATATTCGTGAAGTAGGTAGTGTTACAAAGAAACCATTGATGTGAAAGTTATACCTCGTAATCCCGCAGAGCTTTCGATAGCAGAGCGTGGTCGGTTCAGGGCCCAATATTCCCTTCCTAGTAAGTTTTTTTTTAAATCATGCGCTATAATGCAACTCTAGGGGCAAGGTGGAATTATACAGGAAGTCTAAACAAGCTCGGTCAAAAATTAACAGACGAACCACTATCAGATTGCTTAGCTTCCTTACTATTTTTAAATAAGCCATAACTTAGGACGGTCATAACTGCCTATGCAGAGCTTGCATGGGCGACGATGAAACAGCGTCTCACGTAATGCACTGCTCGGTACTAGGCGCTAGTCACGGAATTGCTAATTGATCCCATACAACTAACTAATTTACTAACTACATCTCGTAATACACCGCTTAAATGGAATGAGGTAGACTCTTCGAGATATTTGCGTAATTTTTTTCAAGTTTTAATTTACTTTAAAGTCCTCAAGTATAATAATATAAGAAAACAGCTTTTGATTGACATGCCTTCATTTAAATATAACAATTTCAGACATCCTGTATATATGTTTATTTAGTAGTATCATTTCATAATGATTTGACAATTATTTTGTTAAATTAGCAATTTTCAACAATGATATTGTGTTTTTAATATGAATCATAACTGTACATAATACGACCAGCATTAATTATTATCGCTCTCGGATAATGTTTCTAACAGAAAAAAAAGAAGCAGTGGTTCACTTTTTATCCTAGCGTTTCGTTAAATATTTCACACAAAGAACCATGGGGGCTTTGGTTTAAACTTTCGTAAGCTCATGTACACTTAGTCGGAAGTCGGCACAGTCTCTGGGCCTTCAGGGTGCGTGTTGTCGAAATTTGCAAAATCTATACAAAAATATGTGCTCGTTGCAAAAATGCACTGTCTCGTTTGACATGTGTCCAACCCACAAATTAAAAGGTTGTTCAAAAATATGTCGTCCGTTATTTTGTGACAGCGGCCATCTTTGATTTCCAATGGCATCGGATTTGAAAAAATAATTAAATTTAAACAGTCGACTGGAAGGAGATGTGTTTTCAACATCTTTCCGCAGAATACATTTTATAAGTAGCCTAACCTCATTAAAAAAAACCCGATTGATATTCTGCACTATATGTGTTTTGTAACGATTTTATATACCTGTGACACTCCGGGGAAGATGATCAATCGAATCATACCTCACTTGTCGAAATCGATTCATTCTTGTATTCTCTAGGCCGTCACAATACAAATCCCTGTTCATAATAAACAAACTAATATGCACGCGAAAACCCTCTTTGTAATTATTCAGAAAACTGGCTTTTGTCTGCGAATTAGTAACTAACTTATGAGCTAATCCAGACAGTAAACTAAAAAAATACTTCCTACAAACTTAAATACCTTAACTATTATACGTATATTATATTATTTGGTAAATATTTATGAGAAACTTAAGTTTAAGAAAATGAGTGTTGCCATCAAACTGCTACGCAGTTTGGCGACTGTGATTAAATTGTTATTTGTAAAGTTTCTTTATAAATAAATAAATAAAATACTTAACTGTGTGCCAAATTTCATCAAGAACTGTTAAGCCATTTTGGAGTTATCTCCTAACAAACATCCATCCATCAATGACTCAATTTTTGGTTGCTCATAAATGCCTAGTTGCTGTGCACTGAATTAAGACGGATTTTTAGAATAATATTATTACCAAGTCATGCAGATAGTGAATTATAATAAACGTTATCTGTTAATATATATACAAGTAATAATACACGTAGAATGTATTGAACTCAGATTTTTTGAACGACACAAGTTCGTAAAGTGAAGTGACCGCGAACAGTACAAAAATGATTTACTTCGTAATCTTGCTGGCATGCGTATTTGCCCTTTTATATTATTATTTTACAAGAACTTTTAATTACTTTAAAGATAGAAATATTCCTGGACCTAAACCGATACCGTTCTTTGGAAACATTAAAGAGTCCGCTCTCAGACGTGTGCAAATATCCACAATTATTCAAGATGTTTATAATTCATATCCTAACGACAAAGTAGTCGGAGTTTTCAGAATGACTACACCATGTCTACTTTTGCGTGATTTAGACGTAATCAAGCATGTAATGGTTAAAGACTTTGATCAATTCGTCGACAGAGGGATAGCTTTTAGTAAAGAAGGACTGGGACTCAATCTTTTCAACGCTGATACGGATACATGGAAAGTTCTGAGGAATCGCTTTACTCCACTTTTTACATCTGGTAAACTGAAGAACATGTTATACCTCATGACTGAACGTGGTGACACATTTCTTGATTATGTTGAAAATCTACGTTCAAAAAAATCTGAGCTCCCGATACATGTACTTGTACAGAAGTTCACAATGGCTACTATTTCAGCATGTGCCTTTGGCTTGGACTTAGATGAAGATATGTATAAAACATTGAATAAAATAGACAAGATGATTTTTACTCCTAAGTTCAGCCTTGAGTTAGACATGATGTACCCTGGTATTTTGTTGAAACTTAATAATTCAATTTTTCCAAAATTTTTAAAATCTTTTTTTATTAATCTCGTGACAACTGTTATAAACCAAAGGGGTGGAAAACCAACAAATAGAAAAGACTTTATGGATTTGCTTTTAGAACTAAGACAAAAGAAAACAATTGAAGTATCAAAAGGATCGGTCGATGACAAAGTAAGATCACTTGAGTTGACCGATGATATCCTTGCAGCACAGGCGTTCGTGTTCTATGCGGCCGGCTACGAGACCAGCGCCTCTACCATGTCGTACTTATTCTATGAACTGGCTAAACATCCCAAGATACAAGATAAAGTTATTGCAGAAATTGACGAAGTTCTTAAACGATACAACGGCGAAATAACCTATGATTGCTTAAATGAAATGACTTATTTGCAACAAGTATTTGATGAAACGTTAAGGAAATATCCAATCGTAGATCCTTTGCAACGCAATGCAGATATGGACTATGTAGTGCCAGGAACTAACACTATAATCATAAAAGGACAAACTGTGCTAGTAAGCGTTTTAGGTATCCACCGTGATCCTCAGTATTATCCCAACCCTGATAAATTTGATCCTGAAAGATTTAATGCTGATAATAAGAAAGACAGACACACCTGTGCTTATCTACCATTCGGAACAGGACCGAGAAATTGCATAGGTACGTAAAACGAAACTTTATCTAAAAACGCAACATAATTATTTAGAAAATAAATTAAATACGAAATTAAGATAAACCATTCATCACGGTTATTTTTAAATTGATTCTTCTTGACGCCAATATTTTGTGTGGTCGTGGTATTGGAGCGGTCGATCCGATCCATTTTTTTAGAGGGTCGATGGTTCAAGAGTTAAGCTTTTGACTTGCAATCTGCAGGTGCCAGGTTCGAAATCCGCCATATGCCAATTTTATTTTATATTTCTGATTTACATATGTACATTTATCCGATGTTCTTACGTATCACGTATAACGAACAAAAACAAATATATGTGTGAAGTCAACCAACTCGCACTGGGCAAGCGTGGTTGACTTATAGTCTAAATACCCCTAACATAGGGTAGGCTCCGAGCCTCTCAGTGGGGAGAGGGTGAGCCTATAGTGAGCTGATGATGATGTGTATATTTTACATTTTAGGAATGCGGTTTGCTAAAGTGCAGTCTCAAGTATGCATCGTCAAATTTTTGTCCAGATACCGAGTGGAGCCAACCAAAAATACTCCAACTGAAGTGAAATTTGATCCAATGCGTGTAGTCCTGTTCCCCATTGGAGGAATTGAACTAAATATTTTGCGAAGATAGATTTTGTGATTAAATTTTTATATTTGACAATGCTTTATAGGCTTAGATTCTCTGTTCCTGTTTTAATTTCATTGAAAAATTATGAATAAATATAAAAACGTTTTAAAAATCACCATACCATGTAAAAGTGAAGATTTAATACGTTCCAAGCGGTATGAATTTATCTGTACTTTCCATTATTGCCTTTTAAACCTTGTCCTAAACCATATTGTAGCTGCAGGAGGATAATTAAACACCATTTACTGTACATTTAAGTCTCAATCCTTTTTTTACAAATAAAACAAACCTCCACTTTTTCCTCTCGATTACTATTCACAATGAGGTGATTGATCTAAATCAATAAAAAATATTAAAAATTGTGACAGTGAAGAAACTTGTTAATAGGTAAAACTTTAAAACAATATTTTATTACTTTTATTAACAAGAGTATTTAATAATTCACTAATAATTATAAAAAAAAATCATTCATTAAATTTACCGGAACTCAATTATATACATGTGATAAATATTTAAAAAGATCGGTATTCAATAAATACGATAAGCCCAGCATATCTCTTATTATTTACTATTATGATAAATATTTTAAAGCTGTATACTTTGACAATAAAGAAATAGACTAAGCATAGAGTCGTATTAAATGAAATCTACCACTTTTCTAAAACTTGTAATGTTTAACCGCTGCGTCGTCTGTGGCCCTATTAGTAAGCATTTGACTGAACTAGACCGTATCAAAACGTCCAGGTTCGATCCCCGCCATGTCACCATGTATTTTTCGTTTTTCGAATTTCATATGTAAATTGATCCATTGTTATTATGGTGAAGGAAAACATCCTAATGTAAGCTTTATGTGAAGCTATTATGTGTTAAGTTAACCAAACTGCTTGGGTTGAAATATTTATATAAAAATATACCTCTATCTCTATCATTTTCGTTGAGAAAAACAGAGATAATAATACCTATATAAAAAGTATTTTGCCAGCAGAATTTCGCTGTAACAACGGAAAGTTTGTAAATGGTCTATGTCAAATTGTGTATAATATCTTTAGTTCACAATTCTTTGAAAGAAATTTGCCTAGTTCTATTTTGAAGTGACTAAAATTACATTTGGTCGGTGACATACAACATCGTAAGTTTGACCTACGTGATTGCACAGTGAAATGTGACGCTAATGACTTGCAGTTACGTTACAAGAAAAGTCTGATACATCTTAATTGTAATATACACAACACAATAGTCACCGATAAACAACATACAAAAGTGAAATCACAAAACTGAGAGTCATCGTAGAGCACGTTGCGTTGATTATGAGTTTAATATAGGTGTTAGGCATCGCAGTCACCGCGATTGCCGTGCTGTAGTGTGTAAAGCGAGGCAGACAGAGTTAATTATCAATTAATATATTACTAGCTGTGCCTGCGACTTCGTCTGCGTGAAATACTGTCTTTGGGTAGCATTTAATTTATTTAAGCTACTTATTTTACTAACGCTTATAATATGTAACAACAAAACATTCAATTTACTAAACATTCTTCTAAACCTTACATCCTGTAATGCAAACTTTCAACGCCTAACGTTATTTTGCACTCTTGGGGTAAAAATTTTATAAATATTGAATTTCATATTTATTTAAATCAAATTAACAACCTAACGTGGATCAGTGGTCAAGCACTTGACTTGCAATCTGCAGATCCTGGGTTCGAATCCCGCCATGTACCAATGTGTTTTTCGATTTCTGATTTACATATGTACATTTATCCGACGTTCTTACGGTGAAGGAAAACATCGTGATGCAACCTGCACAAATCTGAGAAGAAATTCAAAGATATGTGTGAAGTCAACCAACCCGCACTTGGCCAGCGTGGTTGACTACGACCTAGTCACCCCTTACTTAGGGTAGGCTCCGAGCCCCTCGGTGGGGACGTATGGTGAGCTGACGATGATGAAACATTCTTATAAACTTTACATGCTGTAATGCAAACTTTCAACGCCTATTGTTATTTTGCACTCTTGGGGTAAAAATTTTATAAATATTGAATTTCATATTTAATTAAATCAAGTTAACAACCTAAAAAATAAGTTTTAATCTTCTATCTGTAAAAATGGTGATACTTTCATACAAATTTCCAACCCCGTTTTTAACCCTTTACAACCCCTTTTTCGCGATAAAAAGTAGCCTATGTCCTTACCCAGACTCTAGACTGTCTGTGTACCAAATTTCATTAAAATCGGTTCAGTAGTTTTTGCGTGAAAGAAGGACAGACAGACAGACAGACGGAGTTACTTTCGCATTTATAATATTAGTAAGGATCATTGTTTTTCGTACTGTTGCTGTTATGTCATTTTTTTATATAATACTATTTTCTATACTCGTGTAAGTTTTATAAATTTCCTGCCATAACTAACCGCGATATTAGCGCCTTTCTCATAAGTATATGTCCTTGTCTATTTTGCCCACTGGGTCAGATAAGTTTGTCGGTATAAAGTTATATTGGGAAGTCTTACTATCTATGACACTCTTTGGTCTGTCCTCGTAGATAAAAGAATCAGTAGGGTCGATTCGACTAAACATGACCTGGTAACCTATTTTCTATGACCGTGTTAATTATTTCTAATTTATTCTATTATTTTACTATTCTCTTATCATCGGATTACTTGGTTTTTATAAAATATTAATATAATTTACGATAGTTTTGCTTTCAAAATATTTTTGATTGAGCCGGTTTAATCGATAAAATATGAGTGAGGTTTATGAATCGAAAAAAGTAAAACAGTACTTTCTCCGATTGACTTTAGAATAACTCAAAAACTACCCCACAAAAAAATCATCTAAATCGATGTATTTGCGATGTTTAACAAAAAAAAAATTAAAAAACGGTTGTCAATTGTCGGCAAATCGGTGCTTATTCCGTGTAATCTCCAACGTGTAACGTGTAATTTCACCGGTTGATGTTTAACAGGTTCGATAATGTATGCTGGAGTAAGTTAATTTTTTTTAAACCACTCTGAGAGAATGAATTCTTAAAGTTTGACCCATACTATTGTAAAATGTTAACTAGAGTCTTCGAGAGGCGCCTTAATGTCGCAAGATGTATAATATATCATCAAACTCGTTTACATTTTTTATATGATCTATCAATTTTAATTTGTAATCTTCAAGGACAACGTAATTTAGCTATATAAAATCTCATCAACCCGTACTATGTTCCATTCGATAATAGCGGACAGTACGACAATGTTGTACCTATTATTGACTTTCGCAAGTGTAGCTGGGCTTTTATATTTCTATTTTACAAGAACTTTCAACTACTGGATTCATAGAAATGTACCTGGACCAAAACCGCTACCATTGTTTGGCAATATTAAAGATTGCGTATTAAGACGTAAGCATACTGCGTTAGTTTTCAAAAGCATTTACGATGCATATCCTAACGAGAAGGTGGTTGGAGTTTACACAATGACCATGCCGTGTCTACTGCTGCGTGACTTGGACATCATTAAGCAAGTCATGATTAAAGACTTTGAACTATTCGTCGACAGAGGCGTCTCATTTAGTGAAGAAGGACTAGGACTTAACCTGTTTCATGCTGATGGCGATGCATGGAGAGTCCTGAGAAACAGATTTACAACAGTTTTTACTTCTGGTAAACTGAGGAACATGTTGTATCTTATGACTGAAAGAGGTGAACACTTTGTTGAGTATGTCGACAAAATTTGTGCAAAACAACCGGAACAACCTATACATCTCCTCGTTCAGAAGTTCACAATGGCTACTATTTCAGCATGTGCTTTTGGTTTGGACTTAGATGAAGATATGTACCAAGTATTGGACAAAATAGACAAAAGTATTTTTACTGTAAATTACAGCAAGGAGTTAGATATGATGTTCCCAGGCATATTAAAAAAGTTTAATGGTTCACTATTTCCAAAATATATAAGTAATTTTTTTCATAATCTCACCCAAACAGTGATTAAGCAAAGAGGAGGACTCCCGACAAACAGAAAGGATTTAATGGATGTGATTTTGGAGTTGAGACAACAGAAAACAATTGAAGCACCGAAGAAAATGGACAAAGAGAATCTGAGGATAGTTGAACTGACTGACAGTGTGATTGCGGCGCAGGCATTCGTGTTCTATGCCGGTGGCTACGAGACCAGCGCATCCACCATGACGTACATGTTCTATGAACTGGCGAAAAATCCTGATATACAAGATAAAGTAATTGCAGAAATTGACGAAGTTCTTAAACGATACAACGGCGAGATAACCTATGACAGCTTAAATGAAATGACTTATTTGCAACAAGTATTTGATGAAACTTTGCGGAAATATCCACTTGTAGATAATTTGCAACGCAACGCTCAAACGGACTACATAATTCCAGGCACTAATGTTACTATCAAGAAAGGACAAACTGTATTTGTGAATGTTTTGGGTATTCAACACGATCCTAAATACTACCCCAACCCAGATAAGTTTGATCCTGAACGGTTTAGTCCTGACATTGAAAAAAATAGACATTCATGTGCTTATTTACCTTTTGGAACTGGACCTAGGAACTGCATAGGTAAGTGATTTTTTTTTATTCAAAACAACAATTGTATGAATAACACAAGTACAGAAATAATGACTAGTCCTGTATTCTTCTGTCATAAAGAAATTAATTAAATTGGAATTGGCCTATTGTTTTAGCTGACTGATTTTAGCTGGAATTATACAATTTTTTAATGATACTATACTTTGTGTTTTCCAGGCATGCGGTTCGCTAAAGTACAGTCCCGAGTCTGCGTAGCTAAGTTCCTATCCAAGTTCAGAGTGGAGCCTTCGAAAAAGACACCAGTGAAGTTGGAATACGATCCCATGCGACTTGTTTTATTCCCAAAGGGAGGAATTCACTTAAATGTTTTATGTAGATAAATGAAATCTATCATTCGACGGACATGAGAACTAAATCAATATAAGAAATGGTTGTTATTAAAATAAGTATACATAACGTAATAAAAATGAGTTTAGTATCAATTGGTTGTATACTGTAAGGATGCTATGCAGTTGTTTTTAATAAATAAATAAAATAATATATTATAATATAAATTATATTTATAAATAAAGTTAGTAACTAGATCCTTAGTCCAGTCTAGTTACTTATAACTATGGGTAACCGCAGTTTTGTTCTAGTGTGTACATAATAGCTAATATTTCATGACTAGCGGCCGCCTGCGACTTTGTCAGAGTAAAAAGAAAACTAGCCTGTTATATGCCCGCCGTATACAGTTTTAATGTATAAATTCTTTTGTAAAAACTAAAAATTTTTTTGGGCTTCTGTTTCACTTAGTCGAAATTATTTCCCTAAAGGTCTAAAGTGGGGGGATCAATATTTGGATAGAACAATATAACGTTATTCCTTCAACAGAATTGCTTGAAAATTTACATGAACACTTCTCATAATAAAGAATTAAATACGTATTTCAGACTTTTTTTAATTTATTCGATAAAGATGTAACCTGAGGAACTAAAGTTTGTTTTAAACTCTACATGAATAAACTCGTGGGAAACAGCTGCCAGTCTATTATAGCGCCTAGAATAAAAATAAAATATTCTACTACGTATTACTACCGGTTCAGTTTGGTGGTTGCATGCATCAGGCGTTAGATATATAACAAGTTGGTTCATTTTCTTTTTACAATATTTTATATTTTTTACACAAGCTTTTATACAACAACAAATAAAAAATATTTTGCATGAACATGTGTTTACGCAAGTTCCCTGTCCAGTTCATAAAAATGGTTTGGTGAAACTTGTGAATTGAACGAATACTCATAAGAAAATCTAAAGAAAATGTACGTAATGTAAATTAAAAATATGTACCTTTACCTACTCTTTAATAAAGTTTTGCGTTCCTATCGCTTATGTAGATGCTCTTACTATTAAACATAACCAATATTTTATTTCCTAACTTTTGACATGTCTGATGATAGTATTTTATAGTCGCCGACAACAGCCCATAAATAACTTTGGATTATTTGATATAACTCTAATTGTGATATAATACATTGAATAAGTATTGCGGGATTCATTAAAAATATCTAAATCATTATGTATTCATATTAGGCGCCTACTGGTATTTTTTCGTCAAATGTACTTTTTGTCCGATTTCAAGGTGAACATCTTGTTTTCACAGTTAGGTTAGTTACATGCGGTTGCGTGCGTGCGGTTTTGGTATTGTGATATCACACTTATTAAGATATATTTTGTGACACTTAAATCTGCGCAGAATATATTTCTCATATACTATTTTTCATATAATTACCAATTTTCGGGTTGTTTAGTGTTTACTGTCTTTAAAGCATAGAATTGCTTTGAAAATAAAAATGAACAAAAAAATAATACTCGATACAAAATAAATTAAAAGGCCAATTACTTAAACCAACTATTTGAGACTTTAAAATTACTCCGAATTTGGTTTCTTTTAATTCTTTAGTCAATAAATATTTAAAAATTATCATTTATAGATGAATATACATTTGTATTAAATATTATTCATCCAATAACAACGATAAAATATGATTTCTTTTTTGATAAATGTTTCTCTTATAAAAATACATCATTAGCTCACTATACGTCCCTACTGACGGACTCGAAGCCTACCCAAGTTAGGGGTGACTAGGCCATAGTCAACCACGCTGGTCAACTGCGGGTTGACTTCACACATATCCTTGAACATCCTCGCAGATATGTACAGGTTCCATCTCGATAATTTACTTCACAAACAAAGAAATACAAACATGTCTACAACACACATACTAAATTTTTTATGTTCAAAGATACGATTTTATCAAGTCATTGCTTCTTGTTATCATGACAAACATATTTTATATAATCTGTGTGTTTTGAGTTGTTGTCGTTCAGTCGCTTCGCGCAGTCCAACGATGATATATCTTTTAGTGATTTTGGCAAGTGTATCTACACTTTTGTATTATTATTTTACAAGGACTTTTAACTACTGGAAAGACAAAAATGTACCAGGACCTAAACCGCTACCATTGTTAGGAAATATTAAAGAAAGCGCATTGAGACGTAAGCATCCTGCCTTAGTTTTCAAAAGTATTTACGATGCGTATCCTAATGAGAAGGTGGTTGGAATTTACAGAATGACAACACCATGTCTACTGCTGCGTGACTTGGATGTTATTAAGCAAGTCATGATTAAAGACTTTGAGCTATTCGTCGACAGAGGAATCTCATTCAGTAAAGAAGGTCTAGGACTTAACCTGTTTCATGCTGATGGCGATTCATGGAAAGTCCTGAGGAACAGATTTACACCAGTTTTTACGTCTGGTAAATTGAGGAACATGTTGTATCTTATGACTGAAAGAGCTGAACATTTTATTGAGTATGTCGACAAAATTCGTGCAAAACAATCGGAACAACCCATACATGTCGTCGTTCAGAAGTTCACAATGGCTACAATATCAGCGTGTGCTTTTGGTTTGGACTTAGACGATGATATGTATAAAACTTTAAATAGAATAGACAAAATGATTTTTACTCCAAGTTATGCCAGAGAATTGGATATGATGTACCCTGGGATATTAAATAAGTTGAATGGATCAATATTTCCCAAGTTCGTAAACACGTTCTTTGATAACCTTGCACAAACTGTTGTCAAACAAAGAGGTGGACTACCTTCAAACAGAAAGGACTTTATGGATTTGATTTTGGAGTTGAGACAACAGAAAACAATTGAAGGTACGAAGAAAATGGATGATGATAAGCTGAGGATAGTTGAACTGACTGATAGTGTGATTGCGGCGCAGGCTTTCGTGTTCTATGCGGCTGGCTACGAGACCAGCGCGTCCACCATGTCTTACTTGTTTTATGAATTAGCGAAAAATCCTGATATACAAGATAAAGTAATTGCAGAAATTGACGAAGTTCTTAAACGATACAACGGCGACATAACCTATGATTGCTTAAATGAAATGACTTATTTGCAACAAGTATTTGATGAAACGTTGAGAAAATATCCAATCGTAGATCCTTTGCAACGCAACGCTCAAATGGACCATATAATCCCAGGCACTAATGTTACTATCAAGAAAGGACAAACTGTACTTGTGAATATTTTGGGTATCCATCACGATCCTAAATACTACCCCAACCCTGAAAAGTTTGATCCTGAACGTTTTAGTCCTGAAAATGAGAAGAACAGACATTCATGTGCTTATTTACCGTTTGGAACTGGACCTAGGAACTGCATAGGTAAGTAAAACCTTATAAAATCAGTCAGCCGTATTATGAACATTTCCTGAAGACTTTAAACTACAGCAATTTGTGATATTAACATATTATTATGTTACAAAGCTATTAATAAGTTAATTATGTTTTGTATATTATATATTAAATATATAAAAGAATTATAATGATAGCTAGCTGTCGCCCGCGACTCCGTTCGCGTGTTAGTCTAAAAAATAAAAAAAAACTTAGGGGTGGACTACCCTTAACATTTAGGGGGATGAAAAATAGATGTTGGCCGATTCTCAGACCTACTCAATGTGCTCACAAAATTTCATGAGAATCGGTCAAGCCGTTTCGGAGGAGTATGGGAACGAAAATTGTGACACGAGAATTTTTATATATAAGATGTGCATATAAATGTTAAGATCAAAATTGATAATAATGATAAGAATCTATTTTTGAAGAGTTAATATCTTAGTATCATTTTATCTACCGTTGTTATTACTATTATGTTCTCTATAAATGTAGGGTAATTATAAAGTAGTTTCAAATAAGAATTTAACAACCACAAGGTGCCAAAAAATACGTTGCACGAATTCCATGTTTTCTGATGACCCTTCCACAGTCCATGTCACGTTCGTGAGACCCTCCTACTCAATGTAATGATTATCATAGGAGATCGGTTTGTGACAATACTACAGGGTGTGTAAATAACGATAGAGTTCCAAATATTATACGAAATACTATATTTTAAAAAATTCGAGGTCACATAATCTGGAACCACTTCTCGGTCCTTGTCGAACAATGTCACATTTCATTGAGCCTCTCTCTCTCAACGTGTGACGTGTTTTTATAACCTTAAGATGTCTTAACACGTTTGATTCTTTTTAATAATCATCAATGTAGGTTATCATTATGTGTCGTCGCCCTGAAACCCTGACCCGGATTACTTTCGTATGCAATCTACTAATAAGTAGTATAATCTAATGCTATGATAATAAAAACATTAACGTTTGTGTAACTGTTTACATTCCAGGCATGCGGTTTGCTAAGGTGCAATCCCGAGTGTGCGTAGCCAAGTTCCTGTCCAAGTTCAGAGTGGAGCCTTCGAAAAATACACCAACGGTGTTGGATTACGATCCCAAACGTTCTGTTCTGTTCCCCAAGGGGGGAATTTACCTTAACATTTTACCTCGATAAATTTTTAATGAAAAGTTAAAATACTTTCGTTATAGAATTTTAAAAACAGTAAGTAATAACTATAGCGTGGGCCAAAGTATAGGCCGCATTTGACATGTATCACTTCTAGCCGCGTGATGAGATAAATTGCTTAAAACATCGATTAAAGAGAATTAATCGATTTGGACATCAAATATATTTCAATCGAATTCAACTGTCATGAAGAATCCACGTTTTTCGTTCGATTGTTTCTGGCATCCTAAAAGACATCCTTAAAAGAAAATAAGTTCACTGAAGCAACATTGTAAAGACGTTCTCTTAGCATTATTGCAATAAATATGTAATCGAAATTCGTATAAAAGAACGCAATTGTATAGTTCTAACTTAAAACCTGTGTTACCGCGAAATTTTAAATAAATATATTTTTTTTAATTTTTGTCCGTCTGCCTGTGTGTATGTCTGTCCACAAGGCTGCGTTTGTACTGGATAATATTATTGGCTACTATTTTTTTTATTCCTACCCTGATGATGTCGCCGGCGACGGCTAGTAAATGATAAGCTTAAAGCCTAATCAGCCATATGGAGAAAGTATCTCCAAAATATAATACGCTGATCAACTCAGAATCTTAACTAAACACTTTTTTGGGCTTCGAAAAACTTTGAGTATCTATTAAAAGCATTATTAAAATTAAACAAAAAAAGTTCCGACTGTATGTCTGCCTGCCTGCCTATGTAACTGTCAGTAAATCAGTGTTTGTTTCGGGTAATATTTGTAAAGGCTAGACCGGTAATGACGGCATTTTTACTGGATGGTAATCGATGTAAGCTTTAAAAAATTATCTAATTTTTTGTAATCCCGCGCTGAAAATATCTCTGGCGATCGCTAGTCTAACTTAAGTCTAGCCTAAGAAGACTATTCTACTGCCTTACACAGCTCAAGAAGGTTTCTGAGTATCTAACTTAATCCAATCAATTCAAACAATATCTTATAACTAAGTTCCAAGTCATATCCCATTACTCAACACGTCTGTTTGTAAAGTTGTTTAATTTCGCAAGTCAATATCAATACCACGTTTTTTCACAAAGAAATATAAATTATTTTTAGCAAATCATCATTTATTATTTATCATGATAAACAAATTGTAGCTATGCAGACTTTTGGTCTTAGTTTGTTACTGTACAAAGTACATTTTTTGAGATAAGGCGGTAAAATGAGTAATAAAATTATGATATACCAAAATTATGTATCTTTGCCAATTTTTTACGATTTTCTCCTATCTGTAAAGACAACAAAAAATCGAAGGACCAAAGAAACTCGACAATGAAGATGACGATAGTTGAACTGACTTATACTCGTAGCCTGATTGCAGCGCAGGCTTTCGTGTTCTACGTGGCCGGCTATGAGACCTGCGTCTCCACCATGTCTTACTTTTTTTATGAAATCGAAACATCCTAAAATCTTACTTCTTACTATCTTATAAATGCGTGTGATTGGACGGATGGATAGATGGATGGATGGATGTTTGTTTGAAGGTCCAGAAAGGATGCATGGATCTCGCTAAAATTTGGCATACAATTATAACAAAGTCGAGAAGAACACACTATTAATTAAGTTTTTTTTAAATCCGCGCGGACGGAGTCTCGGTCGACAGTTACTTTATGTACATGATGATGAAAACAGTAGTCTTAACCGTTTCGCAGCTTCGCTTAGAACACAACACAAATATAAGTCAGAAAAAATATCACTGAAATAATTTTAGAATATAACATTAATGGAAACCATATTGTTAATCTTAATCATGATATTAAAATTAGTACTGATGAATCATATCAGTAGTCAAACATCGTAATATGTTATGATAAGAGTCTAAATTATGACAAGCTTATTTGAGCTGGCAGAGGGCTGTTATCGTGTTTAGTTCTATCAGAAAACATATAAAACTTACATGTAGGTAAAGAAAGTTACATAAAATACCTATACAGCTATAAGGATATTTGAATCCTCATCATCAACTCACTATACTTTCCCACTGAGGAACTCGGAGCCTACTCCAAGTTAGGGGTGATTACGCCATAGTCTACCATGCTGGCCCAGTGCGCGTTGATTGACTTCACACATATCTCGGAAATTTCTTCGCAGATATTGTTGTTTTCCTTTGCCGTAAGAACGGTGGATAAATGTACATATGTAAATCGAAATTCAAAAAACGCATTTGTTCATGATTTAGAAACAAATATTTGTTTTTCTTTTTTAATATGAATAATTTTATATTTTATATCATTAAGCGTCGGGGAACCTAAGTCGATAACATTTGCTTTCGATTCCAGCCAATCAAGGGTGTGTTATCTGATAGCTGATATTTTATTGTGTTCACGTAATTATAGCTTTATTATCTAATCCAGATCACAAAAGTGTGGCGAAATAAGGCCTTGTTGATGGCGTTAACTTAATAATGTCATTTGCAATACAGAAATAAAAATCGACTTTCGATTTTGCGTCAAAACTTGCATAAAACAATCCATTGTTTGCTTTCCATGCATTCCAGGCATGCGGTTTGCCAAATTACAGATTCGAGTAAAGTTTCTGTCCAAGTTCAGAGTGGAGGTTTGGAAAAACACACTAATGAAATTTGAGTACGAACCCATGCGACTAATTCTGTTCCACAGGGGAGGAATTCACCTAAATATTTTAATTTAACACAATATATATAATATAAGTACGATGGCTACGTTTCATATTTATATTAAATATGAATTATGTATAAATATTACTTGCAATTACTTTGGCTAGCAAATGCATATGAGTTCATCGAGAATTGCAAAAAAGATATCCTACATTATGTAGTGACTGGCATGGTGGCAAACGAGTGAGCGGCCTTCTTAATCGCCCAAATAGTGAAGTGACCGATGCCTACAGACATCCGCAATTGCAGATGCGTTGGCTACCTTTAATCGACAAAGGAGGAGACACATGGAAAGAGGATATTTCCCCTTACTCAGCTTCCCCAAGTCCGGCAAATCCACTTCCCCTTCCTATCCTCTCCTTTAAAGAAATGAGAGACAAAAACTAAATAGGTATATTTAGAGCTTTTAGTTTTTCTCCCCTATGTGTTTATTAATCATACCTGTTACGCATGTGAATATAATATATTTTATCGTGTTTTTAATTATTCATTATTAATAGATAGTGTTATACTGTCTTTAATTTTACTCATGTCATGGTGTGTTTTATTCATTTTCTTTGTCTTTACTGTTTTTGGATTTTAGGGTTAAATTGTCTAAGGGAAAGTAGGCCTTGTGTCCTCTTTATAAATCAGATCGGTATATGGCGGAGATCGAACTCGGACATGTAACTGTGACACGCGTCCGCGTTAATGAAAATCCTTTATTGAACCAAAAATTTTAATAAAATTAGTTTAGTGTTTTAAATGTGGAATTACATTGATACCTTTCGCTCCCTTAAAACTTTGCAGCTCTAGGCAGTACTGAAGAATTCAAGCTTCTTCACTTCTCTATTACACTTAGCATGCTTTTTTATTTGCGACCTTTTGCTATAGGTGACGGATGCCACCAAAATCTCTTTCTCTCTCTTTTGCCTTTTCTCTTTCTCTTTGCCTACACGAATTACCATATCCTTCGAGATAACAGGTATTTCTAAATCGATACAAAATACAACGGCAATTTGATTAGTTCAAAAAATAATATAACTTACATTTCAATCATTAAACACTGCGTCTAGACGTTATGATAAATGACAAACTTATCAATCAAACTACTACAAAATTAGAAACATTTTTGCCTAGTCATCTTTATTTTGCTATTTATCATGACAAACATTATCAAGCCATATATAAACTGCGATCGCGATTTTTCATTCATTCGGTAATCGTGCACAGTCGTACAATGCTGTATCTTTTAGTTACTTTAGCAAGTGCACTTACACTTTTATATTTTTATTTTACAAGAACTTTTAACTATTGGAAGGATAGAAATGTAGCTGGACCAAAACCGCTGCCATTCTTTGGCAATCTTAAGGATACTACTCTAAGGCGTAAGCATGCTGCTATTGTTTTTAAAAGTATTTACGATGCATATCCAAACGAAAAAGTGGTCGGAGTTTACAGAATGACAACACCGTGTCTGCTGCTGCGTGACTTGGACGTTATTAAGCAAGTTATGATAAAAGATTTTGATCTATTTCTTGACAGAGGTGTGGAATTCAGTAAAGAAGGACTAGGACTTAACCTGTTTCATGCTGATGGCGATACATGGAGAGTCTTAAGAAATAGATTTACACCAGTTTTTACTTCTGGTAAATTGAGAAATATGTTATATCTCATGACTGAACGAGGCGAACACTTTGTTGAGTATGTCGACAACCTTCGTGCAAAACAATCAGAGCAACCTATACATCTCCTCGTTCAGAAGTTCACAATGGCTACTATATCAGCATGTGCTTTTGGTTTGGACTTAGATGATGATATGTACAAAGTATTGGACAAAATAGACAAGATGATTTTCACTGCAAATTACAGCCTCGAGTTAGATATGATGTACCCTGGCATTTTGAAAAAGTTTAATGGCTCAATATTTCCCAAGTTTGTAAACACGTTCTTCAATAACCTTGCACAAACTGTCGTCAAACAAAGAGGTGGACTTCCAACAAACAGAAAGGACTTTATGGATTTGATTTTGGAGTTGAGACAACAGAAAACAATTGAAGGAACGAAGAAAATGGACGATGAGAAGCTGAGGATAGTTGAACTGACTGATAGTGTGATTGCGGCACAGGCTTTCGTGTTCTATGCGGCTGGCTACGAGACCAGCGCATCCACCATGACGTACATGTTCTATGAACTGGCGAAAAATCCTGATATACAAGATAAAGTAATTGCAGAAATTGACGCAGTTCTTAAACGTTACAATGGCGAGATAACCTATGACTGCTTAAATGATATGACTTATTTGCAACAAGTATTTGATGAAACTTTAAGAAAATATCCAATTGTTGATCCCTTGCAACGCAACGCTCAAACGGATTATATAATCCCAGGCACTAATGTCACTATTAAGAAAGGACAAACTGTACTCGTTAACGCTATGGCTATTCATTACGATCCTAAATATTACCCCGACCCGGAAAAATTTGATCCTGAACGTTTTAGTCCTGAAAATGAAAAAGATAGACATTCATGTGCTTATTTACCTTTTGGAACTGGACCTAGGAACTGCATAGGTAAGTTATCAATGTTACATTTACCACCCATATTTAAAATAACAAAGCAAAATAATTTACATGGGGTGTCTTGCTTCGAGAATAGGATACTTTTTCTTTAAAATGTATTACTTTAGCGGGCTTTGACGAAAGTCAAGTTCACACTGTACACTATTTATCTATACTAAACTTTTATTATAAATAATTTTATGTTCCAAACAATCCGGAATGCATAACGTACATGATTGTTAAAACCATATTTTGATCTGTCTAATAGTTCAGAACACGTCAAACAGAGGTCACGAAAAGCGACTGTTATTTATATTATTTATACATATATAATATTTTATATATGTATAATATTCTCGCATTACAATGTTTGTTATCATACACCTCCGAAACCGCTTGACCGATTTTTATGAATTTTTATAAACATATTTAGTAGGTCTTCGAATCGACTACTATCTATTTTTATTTTGCAATCCCGCGCCGACGGAGTCCCGGGTCACATTTAGTAATAATATAAAAATGTAGATAACGATACGATAATTATCTTTACTATGTGTAATATGTATTATATAATATGTTTATGTTTTCCAGGCATGCGCTTTGCCAAAGTGCAGTCCCGAGTATGCGTAGTGAAGTTCCTGTCCAAGTTCAGAGTGGAGCCTTCGAAGAAGACACCAGCGAAATTGGAATACGATCCCATGAGACTTGTTTTGTTCCCCAAGGGAGGAATTCACTTGAACGTTTTATGTAGATAAATATGTTATTATGATTCGAGAAACAAAATGTATTTGGTGCCAGTAAATTAATATTTTAAAATTGATTATTGGATCTTGTCTGATCCGTTTGTACACACTGAGAACTTAGTGTACATAACCAAAAACGTTGACTCTAATTTGTTTATGTTAAAATTTATTAAATTTTTTTGTTAATTTCATTTGAGACATTGATGTAGAAATATTTTTAATAAAAATGTGACCTATGATGGAACGTTAAGTTAATTCATATATTATGACGGATAAGAAATGTGAACATATAATTTGTTTTAAGTTTCGGGTTTTCTTATAAGTATTGTAAATATGTTTTTTTAGTTATATCAATTGGTGATATTTAAGGCTGTTATTTTTTATGGATAATATAATGATTAAAAATGAATCGTCGAGTTTTAATAAAATAATCTAGAGAACATATCATAACTAAAGTATCACATACATAATTCTACCGTCGCGCGTACCGTCTAAGAGCGTCGGTGGCTCAGTGGTTAAAGCACTTGACTTGTAATCTGCAGATCCTGGGTTCGAATCCCGCCATGTAACAATATGTTTTTCAATATGGATTTCGATTTACATATATACATTTATCCGACGTTCTTATGTTGAAGGAAAACATCGTGATGTAACTTGCACATATCTGCGAAGAAATTCAAAGATATGTGTGAAGTCAACCAACCCGCATTGGGCCAGCGTGGTTGACTATGGCCTAATCACCCCTAACTTAGGGTAGGCTCCGAGCCTCTCGGCGGGGACGTATAGTAAGCTAATGATGAAGATGAATTCTAGCGGCGCAATCCGGTAACAATAACAAAGCCCGAAGAAACAGCCCGAGCCGAGGCTCCTGAGGGAGCCCTCGAGTCTTGTTATTCTTAAACGAGGTTCAGGTTTAACGTCATATGTGCTTGGCCACCTCAAAACCCGGTGAAGCTGTAATTGCCTTCTTAAGCCAAACAGTGACTACTTAGACCCAAAAAAAAAGAAATCGCGGGTCTTACCTAGTCTTTCATAATAATAACCTTCACGTGATCCATACATGTCTAAAGGTTAATGGACAATTAATCACGTGTTTTTGCCAACTTTTAATCAAATGCTTTTAATTATACACCGTTTGATATGCTATATCAAAGTTTTTACTTATCTTAGTAAGTTTCTTCTTATACCTAGAAGTGTTTTTTTTAATCAAAGGCAATTAAAATTATTAAACATTTAAGTGTATTATGAAAAACTATAGAAATATCTATATTATATATTTAACATCATCATCATTTTCGTTTGGTTCATAAGACGAGACGATTTTTAAGAAAAATTATTAGGTTAAGTACTAAGTCCAAGAATAGCGCGTACAAAACCGCACGGGAACTGCTAGTTATTGATAAAATGAAAAATATTGTTCAGAGGATTTTTTAATGTTAATAACTTTATCATCATTGTTGAGTAAAAATAATGACCAATATATTTAATATCGTATAAGTATTCTACATTACTTGTTTCTTTTTTCTGTTAATTATAAAATAACCATTTGTATGTAATAATTTACTTTTATGGAATAGTTTACGTAAGTAACAAACAGATTATGATATTTATTTTTTTATCGCAATTTAAATATTATAATATAAGTACAAACGTTGATAAAAACAACAATCTATGATAATAATATTAGGTAAATATCTGATGAATTCCAATCCTATTTGCGCGTATTAAAAAGAGTTTAGTTTGTTATAAAATAGTTGACGGCCGCGACTCCGTTCGCGCGGAGTTAAAAAAAATCTTAACATGTATACGTGTTCTTCTACAATATGTTTCGCATCTATGCAAAATTTTAGCGAGATCCATACACACGTTCTCACGATACCTTCATACAAACTTACATTCATACACCTAAACATTCGCATTTAATATTAGTAAGATTTAATAAATTATCAAATCTATTTGTATTTTATGTTTAAAATACTTTGCAAAATGTTGTTAACATTTTTACGATAATTTTATGTAAATAAAAAACGATTCAAGTACTTCATTAAGTCATAATTCAAAGAGGAACGGAAATTATTTAAAAAATACTAGAGAAGCTTATAAAATGTGTTTTGTTTAAGCGTACAATCGACAAACTCGTAGTTCGTCTTCATTTGTTTCTTTAAAGGACGACGAACCACGAGATCATAGGAGTGATAATCGCTAAATGTTTTTTATTCGTATGTACTCAACATCCTTGTCGACGAAAATACGAGTCATTATATTTATTTTGGAATATGACGTTATATGTACATGATAAATAATGCAATTCATGGCTAGCCACTTATTAAGTAACCGAGGAAGCGAACCTGTTGACCTTCAAACATATTTTTATATTAAGTGTTTTTATCCGTCGTGTGTTTAGGCTAATTATTTTTAGCATATTGAAAGTTCGCACCGCTTAATCATTCCATTTAACTATTTATTAAAATAAATTTACATATAATATTATCTTACTCCAAAAATATAGTTAGATATTGTTTAATCATACACGTGCTTTAACCCTTTGAATGCCAATGATGGACATTATGGAAGTCAACGTGGTTACACATTTTACCGCAAATATGTATCACAACACTACTTTCGGAATAAGCATTTCATTATTTATCAGTCAAGGTCGAATTTCGCAAACTGTTTACGTATAATGTTTCAATAGCCATGACTTGTCAAAAATTCGCCGTGCGTTATATAAGTCGCGGTATAAAGGGAAGGACGTATGTTTAAGTTAACACGTGTTTGGAACATTGTCCATTTTTTTTTATTGTAAGCCCTGTATAACTTTTAAGACAACAGCGAATGTTTGGATGGATGTTTGTTTGAAGGTATCTCCAGAACGGTTGTATGGACGACTAAGGGTCCTTCAAGAAGCGAGCGTATCACCATCTCATAGGCCGGCAACGCATCTGCGGTTTTTCTGGTATTGCTGATGTCCATGGGCGTCGTTGGACACCTCGGTGTTCCCGCTGCTCTTTTGCCCCCTTCTGTTATAAAAAAAAAATCTCGCTGAAACTTGGCTTGGATGTAGAATATAGTCTGAAAGAACACATACTAATAAAGCTTTTTTTCATTCCGCCTGGACGGAGTTACGGGCGAAAGCTAGTATTGTACATGAATCTCTTTGTATTTGACGTATTATTTGCGTTTTTAAGCTCATTGGCAGATTGTGATATAACTTTGGTACCAATGACTGTTTATTAAATTCTGACTTAAATAAAAATACGGAACCTGTTGTAATTATAATAGGTCTTGGAAATTTGAAAAATCGTTTGAGCCATTCTCAAAACGAATCAAGAATATATATCACAAAAGAATTGTTCGTTTTCTCACACTCTTATGTGTACGTATCATATTCATTTATAATGTTTTATTAGCCAATTAATAGTATTCTATATCCTTGGTAACGTGTTTTTTTTTTAAGAAATTTGGTATCATGACTTTATCAACTGCCAGTTATCTGAGTTAACAATTAAATCATTGATTAAGTCAACTGATTTCATTTGATTCCAAGGCAAATATCAGCACTTATCTCCGTGTACCTCTGAAACCAATTACAAAAGTCAAATTACGTAACATGTTTTTGTTTTTGCATAAGTTTTTTGTATAACTTATTTTGTTGGTAATAAGCACTCGTACTCGCGTCATGCTTTACAGTGTTGAGTAAACTGTAAGCTAAAAGCTAAAGAGTTTTAAGAATAACCTTGCTTTAATTTTCAAAATTTATAGTACACAAACACTCCCAAGTCACCTCGTATAACCCTAATTGTCTAATTTCTATTTTAATACCAGTAGGCCAAATACAACACAACGCATCTGCAACACCAGAGGCACTGCAGATGCGTTGCCGGCCTTTAAGGAAATGGTATGCTCGCTTCTTGAAGGTCCCTAAGTCGTATTGGTTTGGAAATACCGCCGAGGACAGACTGTTCCACAACGAGACTGTACCAGTGGAATGCCCGTGAAACACCGTTGTGGAATGCCAGCCATCCAGGTGGTTTGGATGGAACCTGGCGGTCTGTCGTGTCGTCCGATGGCGGAACTCGGCGGCAGGAATCGTTCCAAACAGTTCTTCGGAACACTCCCCATGGTAAATGATTATGAAATTACTAGTGTACTTTACGTCCGATATACGCACAAACTATTACTATACTATTTATTTTTTGATGACGATACGATGGTGCTTGTCACAAATTTCGTACTTGACTCATTTTATGGTACAATAATATTACGTGATGTAGGACATAGAGGATATATTCAAAAGAATTATTTACCCATGTTACCTCTTCTTTTTTTGTTAAAATTTGCAAGCGCCCTCTGACGATTGGTGATATAAACTAACATGTTGAATGAATTATTCGCACAGCAGTTTTTACCAATCGTCGCCAGATGGCTCCATAAGTTATTTTTAGATTTGATAACCTTTTTCCCTTCAAATAAAAATATATTAAAAAAAACAAATACAATATAGAGTTATAGAGATGACCTACTTTCTCTCAGACAGCACTGTATTAATAAAAGTCAAAAGAAGCAATTTTAACTTACCAATCTATCCATACATATTCATAAAATTGGAGTGTACGTATGTAATATCGAAATATAAATTTCATATTTCGTAAACATGGTGCATTTGCGTTGCTGATACGAAAAACCAATTATTGAAATTGTTGTCCGTCTGTTCACATTTATTTCGGCTAATCTCAGGTTTAGCAGGACCGATTTTGAAAGTACTTGGATGGGAAGATAGCTGCTGCACGCATGCACATTATAGGCTACTTTTTTACTTCTGCTCCGAAGAATTCGTAGGCGACCGCTACTAAACAATATAAATCGTGGCTTAAAAATAAAGACATCATCCCTAAATGTGGTTTTTATATGTATGATAAATATGCAATTCAATTAAATGCTTATATTTTATTTTAAAACATTTTTTTACAATTTTTTGCAATGTATAACATGCCAATACATTGATACGAGTCAGAAAGTCAAACTTGACAACTGATATAGAACCTGAGGTAAAACCAGCGCAAAAGCTTAGTTCACGTTTATTAGTTGATAGCCCTTGATCCTAAGCTGAAATATTTTTATTGAACAAACTACATTTTTTTATATCTGATAATTAATTTTTTAGTTACTGTATGATTAGACTCGTCTTCGTATCAGATTCAACTGAATTCAATGAACGGGAGAGAGAAACAGGCGCATGGGATCGTACTACAGATCCATTGGATTTTTTTTGGAAAATTCCACTTCGGAATTTAGGTAAATACACTGACTATGCACACTTCTGTCTGTAACTTGGCGAAACGCATACCTGAAATGTTATGATGGATCGGTACAAAAGATACATTGACAAAAGCAAAAAAAATTGAACGGTCAAAAAAATAATCGAAAATCGATACAGGAAAACTAATTGTTTATGATACGATTTGAATCCGCTTTGAATAAATGGACGGTAAAATAAAATAATTTAATTACATAGACGGTAGTTCGTGTTATTTTATAACAGTCACGATATTCCTATTTGCTTATTGTTCAGAACGAAGAAATTAATAATTAGATTGATGTAAAAAAGATTGCAATGTCGATAAAGTAGGCAATTAACATAGCACATATTTTAATTTAACATTTGGAATATTTGTTGTAGCGGCGGAACCTTTAGCGCTGCCGGTGTAATGTCAACTGCGGATAGACTTCGGCGCGAGGATAGGCGCTGCGACGCCGGGCGGGGCGCCATGCACCTACGAATTTGTAGTACCGTTCTTGACATCGCTGGTTCTGCGGAAGAAGCGAGATGCACGATACCCTGACATAACCATATATACACTCGTCTCTTTTCCTCCGGCTTTGCGGACGTCGCTGTGCAAGTATGCGTGGCGACCGCCGCTGCCGCTACCTATTCGTAGAATCGCTGCTCGCGAGGTCGCCTACCCTCGGCGCGTCCTAGTATTCATAGGTCTACAGGGGAGGGTATCGATGCGGGTGCGCGCGCAAACCTCGCGCCCCTCTGGTTCGATTTTCCCGTCCGGACGACGGTGGCGGCGCGTTGCATAACTCCGTGGCGGCACTCCGTGCGCGACCTCACCGCGAGCGCCCGTCGCGAGCGCGCCCCGACGCGCCCCAACGCGCCAACACGCGTCTCGTCGCGCCCTTTACGTAACGCGCAACCACCGCGCGCGGCCCCCATCGCCTGCGTCAGCTCGAACGGATAAGGTTTGGAGTGATACGTTATAAGTGTACTTGGTTTTGGCTTACGACGCTTCTGGCTTTAGTGGGAGACGGCGCGGCTGCGGTCGGTGTCGGGCCGGTAGGTGTAGCCGCGGCAGCCGCAGTGCGCGCGCCCGCCCTTTGTCTCGGGGACGGTGCCAGCGGCGGCGGCGGTGGCGGTGACGGCATCGCGTGCTGAATAATTGACTGAGGCAGGCCGCTGGCCGCTATCGACCTCCTCGCGTGCTCCGTGTCCCGCGTGCCCCCGTGCCCCGCGTGCCCCGCACGTACCGGCCCGGCAAGGCCGCCGCGCTGGCTGCGCCACTCCGCCGTCGCCGCCGCTACTGTCTCTGTAAGCCTTTCACGCGCTTTTATACTCACATTTACGTTTATATTTGGATAATGTATTACACATTTTACTATCTTATGTTTATTTTAAGATATGTGGGTAACGTGTAACCAACCGATAATTGCAAATTTTTGTGTTCTATTATAAATTATTGCTTTTACTGAATAGTGAATAATCGATCGAACTCACGATTTCATAAAAAAAATTGTTACAACAATAGCTTACATGTTTTCAGTGTTATATATACTTTACTAGCTGTCGCCCGTGACTATCCGCGCGGAATAAGAAAAACTTATTGAGTAGCCTTGCTTAGCATGTTCTTCCAGACTATATTCTAAATCTACATCAAATTTTATCGTGAACCGTTGAGCCTTGGTGGTAACTTCTCACAAAAATCCATCCTAACATCCAAACTTTCGCATTTATATTATATAGCTTTTAACCGCGATTTCGTATGCGTGGAATATTAAAAAAAAACTTATTAAGTAGTCTATGTGTTTTTCTCGTTGTCTATGGCACATTTTGGCGAGATCCGTTTTTGAGGTACGTAGTAATAAACATCCATCCAACAACACTTTCGCATTTATAATATTAGTAACATTAACGCAGTATATAACTGATATCCATCTTATGTGAAAAAAGCTTATTACGTAAAAACAGTTGGAAAAATTTCACGCTTTCAGTGTTCATTGTTACATAAAATTCAATTTGAGGTAAGTAGTTACATTTGTAACCCCTATAAATGTATTTATCTGAAATCGATTAGGTAATCCTAGTGATGGTACGCTAATGGGTACAATCCGGTATTTCCGACCTATTTATTAAACGTAGTTACATAAATCGATGCTTTTATACCCAATTAAACAACGTAATAATTGCAATTCTATCCGTTGCTTTATTAATATGTATGCGTATTTTTAACACCAATTAAAAATGATTAAGCAATGTAACTGCATCTGTTATTCCGCAAAAGAATACTGCCTTAGTCAAATGACACACAATTTATTTTTGTCTTTGGTATATTTAGTGTTAGTCACTATTGATCATGCTGACATCTATAGTTAGCAAAAAGTAGTTTTTCTCTTTTTGTTAAAATTAACAATGTAGGAGTAAACTTTGAATTAAATATTATTGTGTAAAATATCTTTGGATATTATGCTTTAATTTTTAACCTGTTCAAAGGTATGTGATATGTATAGTACATACTATAAAGACTAGCTGTCGCCGCGACTCCTTCCGCGCGGTATTAACACATTGAACGTCTGGTCACTGATGACCGGATCCCTGCCTGCATATAAACGCGGTGTATCTGTTACCTCAAGGTTTTTTCATAATATCTGCAGAACCCAGATTGTATTTGAACTCTAAATCAGGTATATTTTGAAGATTCCACATTACGCATCTATTTCAAGCAAAAAGTTTTTTAGTGATTTTTTCTATTTCTACTATGGCGTTTAACGCGTTAATCTTAATTTGTTCTTCCAGGTGTTTTCCAGGTTGGGTCTAATGTCAATATCCGATTTCCAGGTTGTTTTACATCCATGCTAAATTTCAGCAAGATCCATGCAGCCGTTCTGGAGATAGGTTCTAACAACATCCATCCAAACATTTGCATTTGTAACGTTAGTAAGAATTATTTAGTAAGAATGGTAATTAGTGTGTGACAGGAAAATACAAGACTAAACGAAGTTAGTTCTTTATGATCGTTTATAAGGAAGTATCTTGTTAGATGTTATCCTTTGGAGTGTGTAATTTTTCAATGAGACGAGTTTTTGTCAACGGTAAATTGAAGTCTTAATACGAGTAATCATAATTCATTTAGTATTATTTCGATTAATTTACAAACATTTGCAAAATTATCTCTAATCTTAAATAGAATTTAACATTATTTATGTCAGAATATACTTTATTATAATTGGCCAGCGTGGTTGACTATGGCCTAATCACTCTTAACTTAGGGTAGGCTCCGAGCTCGGTGGGGACGTATAGCGAGCTGATGATGATGATACTTTACTTGTACACATATTTTTAATTTGAATAAGACACGAAAAGTTTAAACAAATTGGCATGCTGTTAAAGTAACAAAAAATTGACCAACTTGAATTAAAATCAACTAAAAAGAGTTAATTACATTTAATAGAAAAAATCTTATTAATGTTATATGTATATGCGAATGTTTGGATGCAGATTTCTGTGAAGACATTCAGTTCAAGAACGGTTGTAAAGGAGTTCCTAACAACCGTTCTTGAAATTTGTCATATATGTAGAACATAGTCTGTAGGAACACATAGGCTGCTAATTATGTTCTTTTTAATACCGAGGCGGAAGAAATCGTGGGCGATAGCTAGTTGTAATAAACTAAATTTAATTTTCAAATTTTCTTATGTATTTTTAATATTTCGATGTATAGATTGATGACATTCAGTCCGCGAACTTCCACATTAAAGGCGATTTATTGTGCTTCCAAAGCTATCAGTCATTACATGCGTAATCTGGAGATTAACGCCGTTTAACTAAAAGTTATTTAATCCGATAACATTTTTATATATATATTATGAATTGTTTAAGAACCATTTTTAAATTATACTAATTTTCAAAATTACAGTATTATTTTCTCTACTTTTGCCGAATTACGAAACAAAAAAACGGTTAGTAAAATCTTTGATTAAAAAAGTATCATGAAAACAACTAAGCTATGCAATTTATGTATTTTATTTACAGTCAACTTACAGTTTTCTTAAACATAAATTGGTCTAAACCTATTGACAATTTGAGGACATTAGTAACTTAAGCAAACATAAAGTGCAAGCTCAAAACATTTTTGTCCGGAAGACCTTAACGCTTGTAACAAACCAATGAGGTTTATTTAGCGTTAAATATATGTTTATTTGTATTCAAAATTGTATTGTTAAATTAAAAAAAAAACACGAATTAAGAAGTAAAGTTTTAGGTGCATTTTTGGCATTTCTACATTCATTTTTACTTTATCATTTTAGCAACTTTATCATTTCCATTCAGTTGAATTGTAGTACTGTAACGGTAGAAATGTTCTAATAGAAAAGCCTCAAAGAATATCTAACACATAATCAATAGTTTCCACTGAAAAATCATCTAATAAGATCGTCGGTGGCTCAGAGGTTAAGCTTGTAATCAGCATTTCTTGGGTTCGATTCCTGCAAATAAGTTGCTAAACGCAGACTATTTTGACAGAGAGATATGTCAGTTAATTTATTTGTCAATTATTTATCCAGCATTTTATTCTATAAACCGGCTCTTAAATTATTCAATCTATTGTCGGAGTACCGAAGATGTATGTATAATTTAATTTCCATGAATTGTCAGTGAAATTTGTTCTCTGTCAAGAGACTCAATGAAAATGGTTAAGGGATCGTTTCTGTATATTGATCCGCTTGTGTCGTTTGACCTCGGATGACATTCGTTCGATCCCAACACTAGTGTTACTCGTCGAAATGAAATTTTATTTCAACAGTTACTGTTGCCTGAGACTTCGTCCGAATAAAAAACCTTAGACTTTATTTTGTTGCGAATATATTGAAGTAATATTAAAAAAATTGAAACAACTCTATCCCATTGGAACCGTACATACATATTTTCGAGACGAAGTCTCTTCTCCGCTATTAAAAAATTTTCATAGTAACATACTTTCGTTTCATCCAGATCTGTAATATTGTTTTGGAATAACCATTACATCCATCCATGAATACAACATCCATCCAAATTATCTCATTCTTACATCACACTAATTTTAGTGCATGAAACATAATAATGATTTATGTCATCTCAAACCTCGTTCTTTAAGTGTCTATTGGAAAGCCTTTTTTATATCATAAGGTGGCAAACGAGCGAGCGGCCACCTGAAATCGCTGAAATAGCGAAGTGACCGTTACCCATAAACTTACGCAATTGCATAAGCGTTGCCGTTGCCTACCTTTAATCGACGGAGGAGAGGATGCATAGAAAAAAAATATTTTCCCTTTCCATGCATCCTCTCATCCGGAAAGTCCACTTCAACTTCCCATCCTTTCCTTATAAGAAAAAGGGTGGGAAGGGAAAGAGGATTAAATAAGGCCTCCGGGACGCACACTCATCAGACGAAACGCGGAATTGCTTCCACTTCACGCCTTTCTCTGTGTGGTCGTGGTATTTCACCGGGCGAGCCGGGCCAATTCGTGCGATGTTAAAGCGGGCTCTACCACTGTTGCCTTATGGTCGATTTAGCAGTATCGAATAAAAAATTAAATATTTATGATATAAGAATAGGCGAGGTTACGTCAATAGAGACATTTGAACTTGTACTTATCGTTTCTTTGAAACTTTAATCAATATTATAGTTTCTAAAAATATAACATCAGTATGTGTATGACAATTTTATTCTTAGCAATATCAATATATTATTTGGTAGATGCACACTTTATGATTTCGCCACAACAAAATATAACATGGAATTAATAATAATTTAATAATCTTTTGTTGTAAATAATGCACAAAATAGATGGATATAACTTTAATAGGCGAAATAAATGAGTGCAGAAAAATATAAAAAATTATTAAGCCAAAAAATGGCGTAAATATATTTGATTGTTAATGTTGGTTCGACGCACAATTATGTCATTCTGCCGTTGAGAAAATTTAAACA